TCACTAAATATTCACTCCTTAGTGATTTCCAGGTCATCCCCTACCAAGCCCAGATTAGTCTTAAAAGTAGCCTTTTCATGTGTTGGATACCAGCCCCCTGTATTATTGCTCTTCTGGATGGTTTTATTCTTAGAAATGTAAAATCACCAAGTTTTAGAACTGGGATGAATCCTGGAGACCATTCTAGTTCACCTTTCCTGTGCAATTAATTTAACTAAGAACTTATTACCTAGGGAGCTCATAGCTTGCCTGTGGATCTTCGCACAAAGCTCAAACTAGTCCTCTGATGAGAATTACAGAAAAATGATGAAGTGGTCCATCATTTCAGAAGAAACTGGCTCCAAAGAAAATATTCTCTGGGCATAGCATTGAAGCTGAAGAAAAATGGAAGCCATAAAAACAAATGGAATTTCAGCTTTTTCTATTGTATATATGTTAAATAACTTCCTACTATTTATAGTAGCCTATTCAAAAAAATTCACATGTGATTTTGTAGGGAAAATATATTCCAGGAAAGCAATATCAAACCATTTATATAGAGGAAGATATATTTTTCTCTTTTAAAAAAATAGCTGCAGTTTCTAGCAGTGTTCACAAATGTAGTGTTGGGCATAAACTGAAGGAAGCATTGGAGGAATTTGTGTTACTAAGGGTTCATTCACAAACTTTGCTTGTCTGTGTTGAAAGGGGCTTTGGCCGTTTCCTCTGGGGACATTATTTCTAGGTAGGCTTTAACAGGGTCCTCTTGTGAAGGCAGATTCTTAACAGAAAAATAGGATCTGTGTGCATTAGGCAGTGGAGACACATTTATCTTTAAAATAGTGTGCTTCTGTTTGGGGAGTTCTTTACTGCATTTGGTAAAGTAAATAATGTCCATTGCTTTTTGATTCTGTAACTCTTCAGGAAACAGTTTCATTCAGGGACTATTTTACCTTCCTGTCTGGACTGAACACTCGACTTGATAAGCAGACAGGGAAACTACAAGAATCTTAGAATATAAAACTCTAGAAGGATGATAAATACTTCTCTTCCTTTGTCAGTGACTTATTCGTATAGACTAAAGCATTTCCAGTTTGGGTTGTTTTTCCCAGTAGTGTTGAGAGAATTTTGTTTTCTGGGAAATACTGGTTGCTAGTAAGTAATGTGTCCAAACTGTAGGAGGCTGCCACGAAATTTATCACAGAACCATGACAGGTTCAGGCTGACATGCTGAGAGACTGAGATCCTAAAACCATTCATTATTTTCATTTTACACATGAGAGGTGAAGTGACTTCACAAGACTGTTAGTAAGAGCCGAGAATGAAAGTCAGGGTTAGTCTGCTGCATCGTGTCTATTGGTGGCTCAAGAGAACCAGCAACCACATGGGAATTTTAGACACTGAAAACCCAACTCTGCCAAACTCCCAGCTGTCTCCTCAGCCTTACCTTTGAATACAATTCACAGCTATTCCATTTCTCTATGTGTCTCATCACAGATGGCACTAATCATACTAACTGTCCTCTGAATTTACAGATGGAAATAATACTCCTGTCTGCTCCTTGAAGGCCATGTCTGCCTTCCTTAGTTTGTCCAGAGCCCAACATAAGTGAGCCCTTCATAAATGCTGTCTGATGAGAGCAGTGATTGCCTAAGTCAGTGTGGCTGGGCCCTCCCTGCAGGAGGAAACCAACAGTTGCTGCTGTGCCCCATTTAAAGGCCTGGGCTGATTTCTGACACCAAAGACCCCCATGAGCGTATATCATCATGTTGGATGTGTTAAGGTTGCCTTAAGATGACTTTGCTTTTTGGTGGCATTGTCATATCCTTTGCAAAGTGACTCATAGGAGAACTAATTTAGTGAGAAGGAAGGAGGTGATACTCACCTGTTAGGACTTTCATAATTTACTCCTGCAAGTATGCCAGAAAGGTGAGGAACTTGGTTTATTCCCAGCCCTCTAGCTGAGAGCCACTTCCATGCTTCCACCTTGGTACTAAATGACAGTGTATCCCAACAGGGTCCTATGGCAGTGGGAAGCAAAAGACAGAAAGTAAGGTGAAAAGTCTCTTCTAAGCTTTTATGACTGAATTTCTATCTTCTCCCATATTCTTAGCTGAGGGACCAAAACGGCTAATAAAGGACTGGCCCCACCCTCTCCAGGCTGGTCACTGTTGTTACTAACTAACATACCCTCATACATCTATTTCTTCTAAGATGAAAGTTTAATCAACATTAAGGGCATAAAAAGCTTTTTTTAAAAAAATTTTTCCCACTGCTGTATCTTCAGTTCTTGCTTCGCAAATTTTAGGTGTTCAGCAAATATTTATCAAATACATGATAAAAGGGTATTACTGAACTAGCACAAACCTGATTGACTCAAAAAATCTTCCTAAATATTTCAGAGACCAAAGCAACCAAAAGTAGGGTGATTGTTTGAATGTTACATTTGGCTAAGTTTTGGGCAGAGACATAATTAAAGAAATCATCTGTTTCTATGTCTTTTACAAGGTATTTTTACAATGCTCCAAGTGTAGTTTGCTCTTTTGCCAAAATGCAGCTAACCAATCAGAGCATAGAAACCTGTCTTTTCCAGCTTCTGTCTTTGTGCCTAACTGAAAATGAGAGGCCATTATAACTGAGCCTTTATGTCTTAAAAAACAAATAACTGGGAACTTCTATGATTGACCTGAAGTTCAAAATTGCCCAGAAGTTCAATACGTAAAACACACTGGCTGAGATGATTGATTCAGAGTTCCCTGGTTACTGTTACTAACATAACGTGCCTTGAGAAAACACACAATATGCAAGCAGGGTTCCCCAGAAAGAGGAAGGTTGTGCCTCTCAGAGGACAATGCACAGTGCGGTTAGCCAGCAGGCAGCAGTACTGACTTGTACTGGCTTCACCTCCAAAGGCCTGGTCTCCTGGGAACAGGCAGTGGCATGACAGGGACTTGGATGCTTGAAGTGAAGCCATTGTCACTGCAGGATGCTTATTTGAAAGGGGAATGCCTCACAGGAAAGAGGGCTTAGCGCATGCGGGGGCTGCTGCCTTGGTACTTTGCCACTCCTGGGAGGCCAAGGGCGGGGTAATAGAGAAGAGGGAGAAGGAGGGGAGTGGGACAGGCCTGGGTAAGGAATCCCCTAGGTTGGGCAGGCCCGGGCCTTAGACTTTCCTCTTGCTTGTGTCCTCTCTAATGCTGATGAGGAAGGAGTGTGATAGAGCCTAAACAAAAGGAATGACTTTACCAACACACCCTCTATTGCTAAAATGAGATAAAAATTAATTTAACTCCTAGACTTTTCTAACATGAATCAGAAGATAAAACACTAAGTATCCAAACATAGTCATTCATAATGCAAAGAATTCACCATTCATGCAGCAAAGGGCAGCCTGTGTTTCCTAATACACTCTAGATCCTGGATTGAAAGGCCAAGTGTGTTTAATTCATTGGTTGAAGGCACTCTAATATGCATATTAATGAGCTGATGAAGTGTAGAGAAGTACGTTCTGCATATTAAGTACTATTAAAATGAAATAAATGAATTCTATTCTGATTTGTTTCATTGTGAAAGAAGGTCCACCATTGGTGTGCAAAAGAATCTTCCAAAAGGCTAGTTTAAAAAGAATTCTTGCATTCTGAAAGCCTATTCTGAAAACAGCCACAATTCTAGCCCTTTTCCAATGTCTTTTAATGTTTAGAAAGTAAAGTAACCAGACGTGCCATCACTTTGAAACTGTTAGAGTGGCTGAGCTCTGTGCAGAGGCTGCCTCTGCCCAGTACTGGTCCCTGCAGTGGAGAGAGGGTTAAGAACACCTAGTTGAAATGGGGGAGGGTATTGACTTCAGATTTACTTAAATATTCATGGGGCTTCCTCCATTTTAATCTGCTCCTTTTAAAAACATGGCTGTGTTTCCCAGTCTGGCAACCCCTCAGGAAAAAAGAATTGCTCCTTCCTTGCACAGTTCAGCTGAGCACGACTAATGTAGAGTGGAAACCCCTTCGGCCACCAGGACTATTCATAATTCATAAGTGCTGCAAACCAGCCAGCTGAATACATTTGGACAGGCTCTTGCTCCTTCGTGCAATTCCTGATCTCATTACTCTCTCTGCCAGGAAAGAAGCAGGGAGCAAAGGCTTCTTGTAAGAATGCAGTGCGAAGATGGGCTTTGTTTGGATTAGCAAATGCCCTAAATTTTGGAGGCTTTGTCTTTTATAAGTTTTTATTATTTTACCACGAATCTGCAAGGCTTTCCTGATCCTTGTGGGATTGCTCTCTCAGAACTGTGATTCTTTCCAAAGGATTTGTGGATTGTGGCAAGGAGAGCACTCCAAAATGCCTGAGGCAAACTATTTGTTATCTGTATCTTGGGGTTACATCAAGGTGGGTTAATTTGACTCTGTTGTGTGTCTTTGATAGAATGTGAAATATTTACATCTGTATGTTTTCTGTGAAGTAGAAAACATCTGTAGTGATATAATTTGTGTTGTCACTTAGCCCATGGAGGCTGCTCATTGTGAAATAAGGGCATGTTATAATACATTGGATTTAAATATACTGTGCTATATTTTAATCCTATTCTTTGTATGCAGCTCTGCGTTTAAAGGATGCTTCTTTTTTTCCTTTATTTTCCCTTAAACTTTTCACATATACTTTCCTCTCACTGTATTGGTTATTAACTCAAATTATATGTTAAATTCCAATAAATGTGTTTTAAAATGTAGTTACATTTCAAGTAAAATTATCTCTATTGTCTCTATTAAATTTACTTTTCCTATGTTTGCATCTTCAAAAGAAATCAGATGTTAATTCTAAGAAATCATAAGAAAACATCTTTTTCTGAAGGTGACCCTGGAATCATTTTACATTAAGGTGGTATTGTATTTTGTTGAAACGCTATTATTTATCTAATGGTATCTGCTCATCCAACCCCTTGGTTCTTAGACAGTAAAGCTGGAAATATCTAAAGTGATAATTTGCTATTTTTTAGTGATTAATACATTTTTGTTCTTCAAAAACAGTTCAAAAGAATGCTGAACCGGGAGCTGACACATCTCTCAGAAATGAGCCGATCAGGGAACCAGGTGTCTGAATACATTTCAAATACTTTCTTAGGTAAGATATTAACTTGTTCCATAACTGTTTCAGTGGGAAACTAATTCCATGAGTGAGATTTTTCAGCTTAGATTATTCTCTGCACCCCTCAGGGACATCCCTGTGTGAGTTAGGAATGAGGTTAAGTCACAGAAAAAGAAATCCATTGAAAATAACAAATAAGGACAACCTTTAAGGTGAAACAAATAAGCAGGAAGGTCTTGTTTAAAAAATAAATAAATAAAAGAAATCACCAAAGACAGAGGGTTATTATGGGCTAATTGTATTTATATGGATCTCAGGTCACCCCCTATTTACCCATCCATTTCCATCTCTGCCAAAGACCCAAGAAGGGGTGGGGGTGGGTTCCAATTATCCAAACCCTAGAGCCAACACCATTGGCTCCCCTGACATTGTGTTCTTTAATTCTTCCAATAACTGGGTTTTGAGCAAAAGGTCTGCTCTGAGGTGCTTTGTAAGGGATGTGGTGGGAGAATTACTGTATCGTGATTTGACCCATGAGAATAAGCTTTGGAAATCTGACTATTGCTTTGCTAAGTTGTTTCTTTAAGACAAATGGGGTGTGTGTGGCGGGGGTGGGGGGGCGCAGATCTTCACATCTCTGAAAAATCTGGTCCTCCCTAAGCAACATTGTTATCTTCCCAATCTGATGCTTTATCTATTATGCTTGGTCACCACACTGCTAGTATTTCACACATGACACTGGCAGAAAATGCTTGTGTCAGTGGTCCTCAGCTACTGTCATGCATTCTATCTGATTACTAGGGATTTCTGATCTCATGCAGAAGCCATTTTATTGTATAAGGAACCTATATTTTTCTTTAATAAGGCCTACAGAGTCTGCAAGTCTGTACTTCAAAGTGAAAGGGTAGCATTTACATTCTGATTCTGTTGACTTTCAGTTACTACTGCTGAATTATCCTTGTTTACAGAACTCCCCTTTGCAGGGAAATGACCCATTTTTACAGCTGGACATCACACCTCCTTTCTTTTTTGGCCTGGCTTCACATCACTAATAAATCAATGAGCATTTGCCTCAATGCCTTATCAGAACTTACAACTCTTCTGGTTTTATTTTTAAAAATCAACCCTGTTTCTTTAATACCAAAGCAGTTCCTGCTATGGGCAGAGCAGTCTTTGAGAAGCCTAGTACAGAGGTCACACTATTACTGTGCAGCCGATGGACATCATCGCAATTAACAAGTGCTTCTCCAACTGTTTCCAGTATGTGGGTGTCTGCGGCACCTGGTTTTCTCCTGCCGCAGTTGAGGCAATCTTTGTCAGAGAACAAAGGAGAAGAATTTTTCATATATCCTAGATCCAAGAAGTAGTTAGAATCTAATTGAGAAAGCATTATAGACTGATCCTTTTCTTCTCCATCATTCCCCCTTTATTTCTTTGAAGACAGGTGTCTTCCACTGTCCATTTCAGATATACTCCGTTCTGTGCAACACTCAATTATTTTTCATAAGCTGGGGACTGTTTGAGGGATGTTTTCCAGGTTAATGACTGTGGGAGAGAAGTGTAAAAATCAGTAAGTGTAAGAACTCAGTTTTGTTTTCATAAACATTGCATTTTAAAATACCAGGACATATCTTCTCAGTAGAGACTCTCCAGACTAGAGTAAAGCTGCCTGCAATCCCTGAACGCTTAATCACCCAAGACTGCTCCAAAGCAGTCTTAAACCTGTAGTCTCTCTCACTCTCTGCTTGCCAAGAACAACAAGAATAGTTTAGTATACTAATTACTCTTTCTTGTTATCGTCATAGGGTATCAAGCAAGAAAGCTGATAACATAATAAAGATGGGCTCTAATTCTCAACATTGTCTATCTCAAGAGCAGGCAAATCTTTTGAATACTCCAGGTGCTATTTGGCACATCTCTTGAGGAAAACCAATCGTTTGGCTTCTTATTAATATAATCCAAAAATTAAATTATCAAGAACAAGCTGTTGAGGAAGGTTGATAGTCTCAGTCCTTACAGACCCAGCATTAGGAGGGTAGTATGTGTGTGCACGCACGTGCACGCGCGAAGTAGACCCATAACAGACTAAACAGATTAAAATCTTAAATATTCTTGAGAAAAATATAAAGAGAAAAAAATCTCTCATATAAACAAAAGATGCATCAGTTGCCTCATCTGTAAAATGGGAGCAGTGAATAGATGACATCCCAGGTTCCTTCCAACTCTAACGTTCTATGACTGATATGGACTGAGTTTATCAATTTTGCTAAGACATACCCGGCAACCTGGATTTTCTGTAATGAACTGTAGGCTTTCAACATGACAATCTCAAAAAGTAAACAGACGAGCAAACGAAGCTTGTCTTCACTTTGCAAATGCAAGACATGGGGCTCAGTCCCACCGTGTGATCGTGGTGAATATTTCTGGAGGACTGTGAATGAAGCTTTCTTCATGAACTGTCAGATCCACAAGGGACCTTAATGGCCTCGTAGTCCAACTCCCTCATTTTACAGAATAAAGCTGAGTCTCAGAACAGCAGAGTACCTTGACCAAGATCACTCAGTGTGTGTTCCTGAGCCAGAACTGAGACTGCTATCTTGACTCCAAGATTTAAAGACCCTGTCACTTCTTTAATTAGGAGAGAAAGTCATTAGGAACTCAGGACATATAGAAGAAAATCATATTTCAGGGCATTTAAGTAATATAGATATTCTTTTGGAGAAAAGTCTTTAGGAATCAGGATTATTGGACTTAAAAATAAAATACTTTCATTAACAGTTTCCAGTAATTTAAAGGGCTCTCGTCAGAGCTCGGCAACCTTCCCAGTGAATACAAAATGAGAAGACCTTGGTTATTTAAGTCAAACTTGCAAAGTGATATCTCAGTGAGAGTTAGTGAATGTTAAAATGTATCATCCAAAGAGGGAATCTCTTAGTGCAAGGATCTGTGAAACTTGTGCTATTTCCATCTGAAAGGACGATCTCCAAATAGACAAGCAAAAAGGCAGGCAAGAGACCATTAACCAATGCAGGCACTTACTGGAGCTATTATATGATAAATATAATTAACCAGGTTTATTGTACAAAAGGAAGTAAAGCATGACTGGCAGGGAGGGAAGACAGAGAAAGCAAGATATGAAGATGTGATACTACAATTTAATTCATGTTTATACAGAGAAAAATCATCGTTTTAAATCCCCTACCTCACTGGCTCTAAAGCTGGAACATAGCATTTGCAAGACACAGGGAAGAAAACTACTTAGGAATTTTGCATAATAAATGCTGCAATCTAGCAAGAAAAGTACCTCAAATTATACCCTTCATGGAGTTTTAATATGATCATTTCTTTGCATCTGTTTTTTGTTTCTTTTATGCTGGTCCATTGTTTCCCCACTGTATTCTAACCATGTGTGAATGTAAATTCATTGTTTATTGTGTTGAGTCTGTGTTTCAGGTTATTTCTGCATTGCACTGGCTAAGCACTTAACAGAGGAAATCAGAGTAGAGCAACTTAGCAGTTGTTTCAATGCCTACATAGGGAAATACCCATTAATGTCAAACTGGCACCCTCTGTGAATAATGGCTTTCTTCTTTATTGTAATGTTCCAAACACAGTAGTGGTTCAGCCCAATTACTGGCTGTTGCAAGGAATCTTTAATTAAACACAGAGAAAAAGCTGCCAGTTCCACTGGAGGATTTTATGTCTGCAGCGGCATGGGAAAATCTAACAGCCTCTTTAACCAGATATGAAAAATGGTCAAGCAATTGGGAATGGCAGGGAATGAGTAAAAAGTAGTAATTATTAGGAGTGAAGTGACAAGGAGGAAAGTAATTTCAAAAACTATATAATATATAGTTTTTCTGCCAGAGATTGTGAGACTGGAAATAAATTTTTAACAGGAAACTCAAGGGGTGCTATGCTATTAAATCACTGTGTATGGACCAAAGTGTGGAACAAATTGCTCTTTGAGCTTGGGCAAGATGCTGACTTCATCTGAAAAGGGAGAATGTGGGATTAATATTGGTTGCCACAGCTGGCTCTGATTATCAGTGTCACTAGGGGAGCTTTTGTTAAAAATACTGATTCAGTAGGACAGGGTGGGGCTCCTAAATCTGTGTTTTATGAAAGTACCCTGGGTGCTTTTGATGCTGAGCCAGGTTGGAAACCCCTAAACTAATTGAGATGACCACTAAAATTCCTCCCTAATCAAAAGCCACAGACCAATGAGTCTAAGAGCTTGTGGGCTCCGCGAACAACACTGGGATGCTAGGGATAGAGAACACCTTTGCTCCAGCCCGCAGCCAGGTTTTGAGGTGGACTTGGTGACTGCTTCTGTCTCCCTGCGCTTGCTTTGTTTTGATGAGTTGTCCTCAGGGCCATGTGAGCAGGCAGAGGTCTCTGGGGAGAGCTGTGACTATGCCATCATTTGCAAGAGTTGAAAGCAAATAGTTTAGATCCCAGCATGCCATCTGGAAACGTCATTTTCAAATGGAGAACTTGTCTCTGTACTAATTTTCAAGTGAGCAGAGATGTATGTAGGAATTTTTGAGAGCTGCATTAACTCTTGCAGCCACAGGGTGTCACTTATTTCAGTGAAGTAGCTGTTAAGCAATTTAATAAATAAATGCCTCACTGCACTCACAGGCATATACGTGGCCTGAAAGAGTTAATGCATTTTTCACAAGCACTCAGGATACATCCCCCTATGAAGTGAAATGGAATATTTGCTGATATTTTTAATAGTGTGTTCTAGAGGAAATAACTTATATGAGCAGGTAGATGTTTTTTTCACTAATTCTAGTTCTGCTATTACCTTGTTGTAGCAGAATATTTTTTAAGTTAAATGAGATGATCATAAATGTTCAATAAGTAAATATTTTAATAAGTCTTATGTCTGTTACAAATGAGAGGCATTGTTATTATTATTTATTAGTAGAATTGATAAACACAAGACATGGACTAAAACTGAAGTTATAGTTTTTCTCTAAATCTCAAATGGTAATAAGCCAAGGCTTTAAAGTAATTATTTGAAGATTATAACCATTTATTTCTCTAACATACATACTGCTGATCTAAACTGAAGTTATAATTTATATTTAGCTGAAATTATATGGATTTTTTAAATTAAAAAATTAATACAAATACAGTAAAATGAGCAGAACATAAAGCCTGTTTTTATTAACCTGGGATTGGTTATATGAACCTTTTCTATTATGCAAACATAGAAGTTATTTACTTATAAATTTTTATGTACTAATGTTGATGCCCTACCTTGAAAATGTGGAAGTTTAATTCTTCTAAATTATACTGTAAACAGAAGATTTGGGATTGAGTCCTACCTCTGCCACTTCCTTGACAAGTTTTTTAGCCTCCTCTGGGCCTCAGTTTGCTTAGTAATAAAATGGATCAAAAATTTTTCCTATTTTCTCCATCTACCTCACAGGTAGATTGTCCTGCTGATCATGTGAGATAATGTGTGACAGTCCTTTATAAGATGCAAAATCCATTACAGATCATGAGAAGTTGCTTTGGATATTGCAATAGGTTCTCATTGGCACACATGGGCTGAAAAATATCCCTTTGTTGCAGACAAGCAGAATGATGTGGAGATTCCATCTCCTACCCAGAAAGACAGAGAGAAAAAGAAAAAGCAACAGCTCATGACACAGATAAGTGGAGTGAAAAAACTGATGCATAGTTCAAGCTTAAACAATACAAGCATCTCACGCTTTGGAGTCAACACAGAAAATGAAGATCATCTGGCCAAGGTATGTGTGAGCTGGGGGTGTGCGCATGTAGATGTCTGCTTTTCAGCAGACAGATGCCTGAAACCACCAACCAGAAAATAGTAGTGATTGCTTTTGCTTGATGTTAAGCTATATGATAAGGAGGTGGCTGGGGGGGTCCTTTCTGTGTATTGATGGGTACCTAATTAAAGACCCTTTTTTATACCAATGTACCCTTTTTTATCCTAAGTTGTATTTGTAAATGGGCAGTTTCTCCTAAGAGTCCTACTGAAGACATACTGGGAGAATGCAAGGGAGGTCAGGAGGCAAGACAGCATTGTCCCAGAGGACATTTCAGAGACTGTAGACTGAGGACCAGTGGGAAAACCTATACTGACTGGCAGAGCTGGGGAAGAAATGAGAGAGTTTGTCAGCACTGACTCTTGAGCCCAAACCCCAGTAGTGGAGGAAGGCACAGAAAGAATTGATACATCCTTTAGGAGGCTGCCCAAGGTGACTACTGAAGTCCTCCCAGCCTTGTGAGAATATGAGATGATCTTACTATGAGCAAACAGACATTCAGCAGGGCCTTCTGAAGGACGTCATTAGAGTAAGGTTGATTACACATTGGACCAAACCTCGGGAGAGAGCCCAGATCCCTTACTCTGGGCAATAATTAATAATGGAATACATTGCCCTTTAGTCAGATAATCTTGGAAGAATCCTACAATGCTCCACTGAATATTTCTTCAAGGTCCATTTGTGGCCCAATAGCTCTACTTATAATACGTGACTGGCATTCTTCATGACCTTTTACATTCAATTAGGGTTGATTTATATACATTCAGAGCTGAGTCTTCTTGACCTGGCCCTTAGTGATAATAAGCAAAGAGCAGAGGAGTTTCCCTGAGATTATCTTCTAGCTGTCACTAATGGGCCACTAAGCAATGAAGAGGGAACCAGGGATAGGGGGCCAGAATGTTCTCACATCACTTGCAGCTGTTGTTACCTCTGAATGCAACATTGGTTGAGAACTGACTCTGAAAAATAGAGGTCAACAACAAAATTCATAAATACACAAACCCTCTCCCTTTTCTGAAAAAATATACAGCAACTTGTAACTAGAAAGAAGAGGGTACCCAACCTCCTAAGCTGTTCCATTTTCAGATTTTCATGTAATTAAAGCATCCTAAATAGACACTGTAAAGACTTAGCTGGCCATTATCTAAACAATAAATAAAAATAATGAGGCATGCTACCAAAATTGTCCGTATTCCTAAGTTCATCTCCTTTTGATTACAGGAGCTGGAAGACTTGAACAAATGGGGCCTTAACATCTTCAATGTGGCTGGATATTCACACAATAGGCCCCTAACATGCATCATGTATGCCATTTTCCAGGTGAGTAAACAGGAAAGAATGTTAATTATCGAGTTGGATGGCTCATTATGATTTTTTTCCATTCCAGTTTACTTTTCTGATTTGGCTTTTCTTTACTTTTGGACATCCACTTATTTATTTTCTAATCCACTTTACTACACAGGAAAGAGACCTCCTAAAGACATTCAAAATCTCATCGGATACATTTGTGACCTACATGATGACTTTAGAAGACCACTACCATTCCGATGTGGCCTATCATAACAGCCTGCACGCTGCTGATGTAGCCCAGTCAACCCATGTTCTTCTTTCTACTCCAGCATTAGATGTGAGTGGTTATGATCTGTTTTGAATACCTGCCCACCCTCTTTAAAAATTTCCATACAACATGTAATATGTTTACAGAAATAATGTAATTAGATGATTGAATGTACTTGAACTGCTTCTTTATTATGTATAGCATCTATCAATTGGTTTACTAATAAAAATGGATGGTTTCTCTACTTTGCTTTCTAATATTAGAGTAACCTTTCCTTTCCATCTCTTATAATGAAAAATTATTTAATTATAAGAAAATTAAAAGAATACTTTATTTTTCATTGTATCTTTGGTATCGAATAAGTATCTACTTCAGTATCTGATATATAATATATCCTCGTTATGCATGTACTGATTTGAACTACCTGCACCATCCCAGGCACTGTGAAGTATACTACAGAAATAAAATAATAAAATGTTCTATATATACTTCCTTTTAGAAATAAGCATTCATAGGCTTAATCTCCTAAGAATTCATAAAACTGATTGTATGGGTTGAAGAAAAAGTAACTGGAACTCTAGAACTGAGGAATTAATAATGCTGAAGCAAAGGGGGACATTGTTCCATTTTGCTAGATATTTTACTTATGCATATTTACAATATTACCAGATTAAAGCATTTGTATTACCAATGTACCCAGAAGGCCATGGTCTTCCTTGACATATGGCACTGGTGGTCAGGTGCTTCCAAAATGTGCAGGCTCACTGCAGGAAGGGACTAGCCACCCCCTCTCCAACTACACCTTTGCAGGTTCAGTTTGGAAAGTAAAGAAAGATTGAACTGACTCCAATTCTATTGCTTCAGTGCCATATTTTTTTAAGAAAAGAAATCCATGAACACTTGGGAAAGTGAAATGGAGCTTAGGAGTTTTATCCCTGTGGAGGAAAGACTCAGTATTATTTTTTTGTTTTGGAGAAGTATCACAAAATAAATAACACTTTATCAACTATCCACTGTTGTTGATAGGGTATCTATTGTGTGGCCAAAAGCTGACCACAAGAGCCACAGATGTTTAGAGAAGGGAGAGCTCAGTGTGTCCTTGAGTAATTACATTGGTCTTCATGGGAGAAGTGGAAACTGAGCTGGCATTTGAAAGATCAGAAGATTTAAGTAAACACAGAGAATGAGGAAAAACATTTCATCCAGAGAAAGACATTTTAGCCAGAAGGAATATATACCTAAATAATTACAAGTTTTAAATCACTATGTACAAGTGGGGCAGAGGAGGCTTTGAAACATGATAAGAAGTATTCAGCAATGGGGTATTAGGTTTCATTTCTTTAAAAATGTTCTCCAACCTGCCCATAGTAAATATTTAGTGGATAGATATTGAATGAGTGAATATATGAAAGTTTCTGACCACACTACAAATTTAGCTTTGGAAAACAATTTATCACCAGTCTTCTAAGCCTGGAATTTGGCCTTTGTTCTCTAAGTTACTCAACCTGAAAACATATGAGATTGTTCTATCTCAGAGCAGAGCCGTTTGACTTAAGTTCTTCAACTTGTATGTGCTTGTGTTATATAAGTACCATTCTGCCATACCACTTATCCAGAAGCAAACATCAGGTACCACCTGATTACTCAACATGAGCATTCTGCTATTACCTTCCTGTAGGCTTGATGTAGGCACAGGGTCCAGCCATCATCCTTTTCACATGAGACATTATGATGATGGATAGAATTTACATTTCACTAAATTAGTATATTGAGATATTATATAAATCAACAAACAATACTTCCACTGAGAATGAAGTGGGATACTTTAATATAAAACTGAATAAACAGGAGAGGCAAATGGGACATGGGGTTAAATACATTCATCTTATTCTGCAGGCCGTCTTCACAGATTTGGAAATTCTGGCTGCCATTTTTGCAGCTGCTATCCATGACGTTGATCATCCTGGAGTCTCCAATCAGTTTCTTATCAACACAAGTGAGTTCACTAGTAGAACCATCATTCAAGATAGCTGTATGATTCACTGCTTAATTTTTTTCCTCCTAATGTTTTCACTAGGATAATAATAAGAGTAATAATGAGGTAATCCTTCCATTCCATTTAGAGTGGTCAGACCTTTCCTGGATACTGTGTCCAGTCTGGCAACATAATTTTTGATCTGCATGAGAGCTTGGAAAGGGTCAAAGGGGAGCCATAAAAAGTACTCAATGTTTGGAAAATATGATATGTGAGGAAAGAGTAACAGATTAATTACAAGTTTTAAATCACTATGTACAAGTGGGGCAGAGGAGGCTTTGAAACATGATAAGAAGTATTCAGCAATGGGGTATTAGGTTTCATTTCTTTAAAAATGTTCTCCAACCTGCCCATAGTAAATATTTAGTGGATAGATATTGAATGAGTGAATATATGAAAGTTTCTGACCACACTACAAATTTAGCTTTGGAAAACAATTTATCACCAGTCTTCTAAGCCTGGAATTTGGCCTTTGTTCTCTAAGTTACTCAACCTGAAAACATATGAGATTGTTCTATCTCAGAGCAGAGCCGTTTGACTTAAGTTCTTCAACTTGTATGTGCTTGTGTTATATAAGTACCATTCTGCCATACCACTTATCCAGAAGCAAACATCAGGTACCACCTGATTACTCAACATGAGCATTCTGCTATTACCTTCCTGTAGGCTTGATGTAGGCACAGGGTCCAGCCATCATCCTTTTCACATGAGACATTATGATGATGGATAGAATTTACATTTCACTAAATTAGTATATTGAGATATTATATAAATCAACAAACAATACTTCCACTGAGAATGAAGTGGGATACTTTAATATAAAACTGAATAAACAGGAGAGGCAAATGGGACATGGGGTTAAATACATTCATCTTATTCTGCAGGCCGTCTTCACAGATTTGGAAATTCTGGCTGCCATTTTTGCAGCTGCTATCCATGACGTTGATCATCCTGGAGTCTCCAATCAGTTTCTTATCAACACAAGTGAGTTCACTAGTAGAACCATCATTCAAGATAGCTGTATGATTCACTGCTTAATTTTTTTCCTCCTAATGTTTTCACTAGGATAATAATAAGAGTAATAATGAGGTAATCCTTCCATTCCATTTAGAGTGGTCAGACCTTTCCTGGATACTGTGTCCAGTCTGGCAACATAATTTTTGATCTGCATGAGAGCTTGGAAAGGGTCAAAGGGGAGCCATAAAAAGTACTCAATGTTTGGAAAATATGATATGTGAGGAAAGAGTAACAGATGTGGAATTATCCAGTTAGGATAAGGAAGAACTTGGGAATAGTGTGATCATGATTTTCAGTTATACAGGGCTCCCATGCAGAGCATAGTGACCCTGTAATGTCCCTCTCTACTGAGGAAGCAGGCTTGAATGTTGAATCTGAGCCTGAGAACCTCCAAACAGAAATAAGTCTCCAAAGAAAGTACTAGAATGAGTTCCCACAATTCAGGAAGAAGGATTATTCAGAGTCCCACACACTCTCTTCCAAGTGCGTAGGTTTGATTATGGATTGGTCGGTAGTAGGGAAGATGACCTCAGTGACCTTCAGGGATGGTCCAGACTTAGAATCCCAAGGCATACTCAAAGCTTTTTTCATGCTCAAAATATTTAGCATCGATGCTAATGAAAATCCGTGAATTCTTTCAGTTAATGCACTATTTCCAGATAATGAAAATCTGAGGACTTTTTCTTCTGAGAATATTGGTTATCCTATTGTGATCATAATTAACATAACATAAACCAAATGCTGATGGTTTTATGAAAATATTGGAGCTACTTGGTACACAAGAGTCCTTGTTATATTTTATCACCAGAATATCTGAACAATCTAGATATGGGGTACATTGTTTTTTTGCCTTGTTCTACAATCGTAACCCTTTTTATGAAGTAATCATTTCTCCTTGTTTATCAGATTCAGAGCTTGCTTTGATGTATAATGATGAGTCTGTGTTGGAAAACCATCACCTTGCCGTGGGTTTCAAATTGCTGCAGGAAGAACACTGTGACATCTTCCAGAATCTCACCAAGAAGCAACGCCAGACACTCAGGAAAATGGTTATCGACATGGTAAGACACCCTCTCTACATTCCTCACTTAGCTTTCACCTTCCTGGGAGGAGAAACACCACTCTTTGATAAACTGAGTTGATTGAGAGTTTCATTCTCATTGTCTCCCAGGTGTTAGCAACTGATATGTCCAAACATATGAGCCTGCTGGCCGACCTGAAGACAATGGTAGAAACCAAGAAAGTTACAAGCTCAGGCGTTCTTCTTCTGGACAACTATACTGACCGTATACAGGTATTTGATGAAAGCCTTTGGTTTAACACAAAGCCAAACCAAACTAAACCAAACAACAATTAAAAAATGAAAATAAACTTAAGTTTAGTTAGTTGCGTGTCTTAGGTTACTAGTCCAGCCTTGACTTATTTTAAGAACAAATTAAAGAAAATGGACATTCAAGTTTATCCTCCAATTTATGAGGAAAAGCATAATCCTATTTACTGAACTGCTTAGTTCTAAAAATAAATGGCACCATCTATTTGTAATAGGGCATACGTGGCTGCTGGTCCCAAAAGTTCATCTTTGGATATAAATCCCATTGACTTGAAGTTTGTTAGGTTTGTTTTGATTACACAAATTGCCATCAGCTGGTCTCCTCTTTCCACAAGTGGAAAATATGAGGAGATCTACTTTGAGTAATTCTTTGCATTTTTTCCAAACTGAGAAAAGGAAACCATGTCAGCATTTGAGCCTTAATGCTTCCAGTTTTAAATTCAATGGCTGTCCATCTAAAAAGACACACATTTTCCCTTTTGGGGCTCCTGTAATGGTAAATAAACAACTCTGGCCAGCACCAGTGTCATACTGCTTTTTGGTGGACACATCATAAGTGTAATGCAAGTAAAATGTTCTTGGGTTTGGTACCAGGTGTACTAGTACAAGAGGGATGAAATGTCCTGGTAGATTTATACCTAATTTTATGGGATTTCCAAACCTTGATGATTTCAGGTCCTTCGAAACATGGTACACTGTGCAGATCTGAGCAACCCCACCAAGTTCTTGGAATTATATCGGCAGTGGACAGACCGCATCATGGAGGAATTTTTCCAGCAGGGAGACAAAGAGCGGGAGCGGGGAATGGAGATTAGCCCGATGTGTGATAAGCACACAGCTTCTGTGGAAAAATCCCAGGTATCTAGTATGAGTTTTTAAAGTTTCTTCCCATTGGAGAACTGGAGATTTCTATCTAGTTCCTTTCTTTTAACAATGTATATACATATATGAAATTGTAAGGAAGCAAATATCCATTTAGTTCTATTATATGCATGGCCTATTTGCCTTCTCCATTACACTCAGTTTCACAGTGGAGATAAAACAGTCATCAGAAACCCATCAACGTTTAGATACGTGTTCTCACTTTATAGATAGTTGTCTGTGACTTTAGCAATTCCAGCTGATTGAAGTGAACGCTGCTGTCCCCTCCATCTCATCCCCCTAGATTTCTCCTAGCTCACCTTTGTCTAGGAGCTCTGCTCTTCATCCTTGTTTTCCGAACCCTATCATCAAGCATCACCAACAGGATGAATCTCATTCCTACACATTCTTCTACCTGATAGTCAACGCCTTCTCCTGTGTCCCCTTCCAAGATTGCATCTACACATCTGAGAACATGCTGATGTCTTCTGGTTGTGTCCAAAGCTAAAAATTCCCTGTATGCTGGGTACTGGGGATAACTGGAGGCAGGGGGAGGCAGAAATGCACCCAGGTACCTTGAGTTGCAGAGTGTGTAGCGCTGGAAAGCATCAATATCCCTAGAACGGCTCCAGGCCTGCTGAAATGTTATTTCTTTCAGGACCACAAATAAGCCAGGTGGTCATGATTGACAATGGGTCTATAAGCTGTCCAAGGTCTTTATCACAAAAGCATTCAGAGTGCTTTTTGTCAGTGTTTATCTTCTTTCCCCACTACCTGCTACCCCCAAATGTATATGTACTTGTAATATCAATATATAGTTCCTTTGCAATTATTATTTTGTTGCTCCTTAAGGAAACCCAATTACATGAGTTCCACATTTGTGAAAGCTCTCTAAAAGTCTAACACGCTGTAAAAATGCATGATAACATTAAGTTATCAGGGCCAGTTCAAAACCCTAAAGTCTTAATTAGAATAATTAACTAATACACTGGAATAATGCTCTGTTAGTGACCACAGTGGTGTTTTATATTTATATGGTGTTCCGTGTGAGTTCCCACACATTTTCCCATACACTATTCTATTTAAACCTCCAAATAACCTTGTGAGATAGACACAGCAGGTATTTCCCCAATGTATCAGTGGAAGAAGCTGTCCTCTTGGTCCAGTTCACCAGCATCTTAGTGACCCAGATGCCCTCTAACAAAGCACTTGACTCTCCCTCTCCATAGACAGGTCACCCTGTTACCATGACACCGTAGTCCACTCTGCTGTTTCCCACAGACTGGCTCTAGGGAATGTTGTCTGAGTCGTCTGGCAAGAAAGTCTCTGACTAGGTGCTCTTGGGATCTGTAGAGTTCTCTCATCCCAGGGCCTAGGAAATAAGCAACTGGAAGCCACTGTTCAAAAAACGTGCGGAGTATTTAGCAGAAGCAAAATAAATGAAGAAAGAAAATGACTGCACTGTGTTGAGCTGATTGAATTTTCTCCATTGCCTTGAGCTTGTTTTTTTCAGACCCGTAGAAAGCACTTTGAACATAGTCTCTGAAATCCATTAAACACACATGAAGAAGTAAAAGGGGAAAAAGGAGTGGGTGGAAGCAAGAGCAATATCTGAATCATCCACAGTCTAACCGAGACAGATCAGAAATGCCCTGACTTTGGTGTGAATCCTGTGTCTGAAGGCTAGGGAAGCACCAGAGAGAAGTGAGATGATAGATGGATAAAAAGGTAGATAGATGATAGAGACAGACTGATAGATGATAGATAAAGATATAAAAGACTCTAAAAGACACATGCAAGTAAGCTTCTTTGATATGGTGCCACTGATATATTAAATGGCTGGCCAAACACCAGGTTAATGAGGAGAGTTTCCGGTAGTGTGGAAAGATAGCTATAGAATATCCCATGGATGGATTGAAGTTGCTGTTGCTCATCTACCCCTAGATCCTGACCCAGCATCTCTCCAGCTCCAGGGACCATGACAGGGGAATTCCATTCCCTCACTCAACTACTGCCTATTATTTCTCTCTACCTGCCCCCGCCCCCACTGTTTCCTGTTTGTCCGACAGGGAAGAGGTCATCATAAGGCCACAGAGCCAGCTCATGCAGGATGCATAGCCCCTGTGTAAACCATAACAGAGCCATAAGCCTCATATTTATTCACAGGATCCCTAGGAAAGGAACTGCTTAATTGTTTTTATTTTCCCTTCTTTCTCCTGATGGAAATGACTGTGCTCCATGGATCTAAAACAATTACAGACACGTCCACAGAGGGGATATTGTTTGTTTAGGAGCTTAAAGTATTTTCAGATATTTTACTAAACTTATCTACAAACCAAAACCATCCTACAGGACTTGAGAATTCAGAGTAGTCAAGGGCTAGCTCCCCTTCATTTTGGAACAGTGACATATTTTAAAGTTATCGAGGAAAGAATGTTGAGTCAGAAATCATTAGACCTGGGGCTTCCTTCTTCAGAGAATGACTCACAGAATCCAAGTAATGACAAAGTCATTCCCAGCCAGTGTTACAATCAGACTTCTTATCTAGCACACATAGAGGGAAAAGCAGTTATGGTGAGGCGAACGCAACCTTTGGAATCAGACAAAGCTGGGACTGAGTCCCAGCTCCACCACTTACTAGCTCTGTGACCTTGGACAAGATATTTCATCCCAATGAGTTCTCATTTTCTCCTTTGTAAGTGGTGAATAACAATACCTACTTTGCATGGTTAAGGGCAGTGACTTATATCCAGCTCAGGATGTAGCATATAGTATGTGCTCAAATAAGGTAATCCATTATTACTGATCTCACCTGTGTTGTTGCTTTTTCTTTGCATGGAAATCAGGACAGCTTGTTTGATTTTCAAGGGCCGGTGACAATAACAGGCATGTAACTTTTATTTTTCTGCAGGTTGGTTTCATTGACTACATTGTCCATCCACTGTGGGAGACCTGGGCGGATCTGGTGCAGCCTGATGCCCAGGACATTCTGGACACATTAGAAGATAACAGGAACTGGTATCAGAGCATGATACCCCAGAGTCCCTCCCCACCACTGGATGAACAGAACAGAGACTGCCAGGGTCTGATGGAGAAGTTTCAATTTGAACTGACCCTCGAAGAGGAGGATTCTGAGGGTCCTGATAAAGAGGGAGAGGGCCACAACTATTTCAGCAGCACAAAGACACTTTGTGTGATCAGTCCTGAAAACAGGAATTCCCTGGGAGAGACTGATGTTGACACTGCGACAGAAGACAAGTCCCCAATTGACACATAATCTCCCTCTCTGTGTAGAGATGAACATTCCACCCTTGAAAAGCATGCCAGCTGTGTGGTAGGGCCGGCCCGTCACGGGGGCCAAGGCCTGCCCAGGACAAGGCCAAAAGGCTTTTCCAGTTACTTGAGTTTGGAGCCAGAATGCAAGACCGTGAAGCAAATAGCAGCTCAGGAAATTCCACGGTTGACCTGTCTTGCTTGCAAGAGTAGTTGAGAGCTCAAGCTTTGTGTGGTACTGGAGGCCAAGTTCAGATCATGACTAAATGGCTTGACAATGGAAGACACAAAACTGAGAGATTTTTCTGCACTAAGTTTCAAGAGTCCCTTCTGGTGACTGAACTGACTGACGAATAACTTCATTATAAATCTGCTCACCTGTCCTCTTGTCTGCCAACCTGTGTGCCTTTTTTGTAAAACATTTTCATGTCTTTAAAATGCCTGTTGAATACCTAGAGTTTAGTACCAACTTCTACACAGGTTAAGTATTCAGAGTTGACATAAACTTTTTTGATTCTTTCTGGGGGGGATAAAAAAGGAAAGAATGGTCTTCCTTCTTTCTCGGGCAATATCTTTCACTGTACTACAGTCACTTTTGCAAATAGAAAGGACACGCTTCTAACGGCATTCTGCTTCCCTTCCCTGTCATCCCATCCGACCCCACAGTGGCCCTTCTAACAGATCCCTGTTGGCTTGCCTCGAACACATTTTTCTCCTCTACTCTAGAGTTCTTTTTTTTTTTTTTTGCTGTAAACAGAATAAAGTTGCATAAACTAAGGGGTAGGAAGGGGTAGTTGTGTTATTCATAGTAACAGTCTGTGTAAAATTCAGCTTAATTAGGCAGTCAGCCCTGTTGTGTCCTGAGCCCCTGCTGGGAGGGCACGGCCCCCATCCTGTTCCCTCCCCCTCCCTTCGTCCTCACACCCAATGTCACCGTTTTCAAATTAATGCTGCTCTCTTTCTCTTGCACTGCCTTCCGCACTAACACCTCCATTTCTGTTTATAACCGTGTATTTATTACTTAATGTATATAATGTAATGTTTTGTAAGTTATTAATTTATATATCTAACATTGCCTGCCAATGGTGGTGTTAAATTTGTGTAGAAAACTCTGCCTAAGAGTTGCGACTTTTCTTGTAATGTTTTGTATTGTGCACTATATAACCTGAGCATTGCTTAAAAGAGACACACGGCCCCCTCACCAGTGACGATGTCAGAAACATTTTCTTCAGAGAGCCTGCCCTTTCCCTGTCTGAGTTACTAACACTGCACCAACCCCTTTATGAACCCGTTTTGGAAACAGGCTTCTCACATTAGATACTAAATGGTTTATACTGAGCTTTTACTTTTGTAGAGTTTAATAGGGGTAGGGGGCAACGGGATGTGGTTTTTACCCATGTTCTATCCAGATCTGTGTAGGCATGAGTTGGGTTATAACTGGGTTCTATTAAAATTGTGGCTTCAGTTTAAAAAGCAACACTACATTTGCTCACAGATGTTTCTTCTGAGTATTCCCAAACTACTGACTTTAAAGAGAAAGCCTCCTGCCTCCATTAAGCAGGAATGTCATGTTCCAATGAATTACAAAAGAAAACAATAAAACAATGTGAATTTTATAATAGAATGTGAACTGATATAGTAAATTACTCAAATGTGAAGCTTCTGATAACACTTGTTAGGCCTCTGTAAAATATATTTCATGCTTTTGGTTTGTCATTGTAAGTCAATAGTTAAAGAACTGGCACAAATGTGCATGACCAATGGGTTTGTATGTCTATGAACACTGCATTATTTCAGGTGGACATTTTATTGTTTTCAAAAGTTTCTCACCATGTATGTTATAGTATTATTATTATTATTATTATTATTATTATTATTATATTGTGGTCAAATGCATTCTTAAGAGACTTTTCTATGAGGTGAATAAACAAAAGCATGACTAGATTAGACTGTAAGCCCAATTATTTTGCTTAGTTCTGACATATTGAAAGATCTTTTTTTCTCTTCTCTCCTTCTATACCCCCCCTAAGAAAAACAACCTCCTGGACAGCAACACAACTGAAGTTTCAGAATCTGTGTCCAAAAAGTCCCCTCGCTAGGAACGTTTCACGTTTTCTTAGCAAACGTTCACCCTACTCCATGGTGCGGGAAGGGAGGTGAAGAAGGTGAAGAGTTCAATCTATTATAAATAAAGGGAGTCTCCAACTTGGCTGGGTCTGCTCAAAAAGTGAATCAAAGAATCACAGAACATGAGCTTAATGTCAGAAGGTCCCATTGATTCACTTGATGCATGAAGAAGCTGAAGTCCAAAGGGCATCTTAAAGCACAACCCACAGAGCCCTGGAGGACACTCATGGTCTTCTCATGATCCATGGAGTCTCTTGATCAAAGGCATAGAGTTATGTTTTTCTTTCTGGAAAGAGATGCATAAATATCATAAGCAAAGCACTTAAATGCCTTGTTGAAATCTTAAAACTAGCGAAAAAAAAATTTTTTATCCTGCAAAGTGTGTGTGTGTGTGTGTGTGTGGTGAGGTAAGTTACAAATAATCAGTGGATGGTCCATAATGTTTTAACCACTAATGGTTATGAACTAGTAAGAGGGTCTCCTCTAGAAGAAATCCACTCAATAAATTGAAATTACTGTATTTCTTTATAGAGACAAGTAAAGATGTGCCAACACTGAAGAACCAGCTTGCCTGCTGGTTGCAGAGCTAATATTTATAACACTTTGCTACCATCCCTGATTTCTGATTGCACAACCACCATCTCTCAGTGCTTACAGATTGACAAAAGTGAACTGGTTAAAATAGCCATAGGTGTGACTTTTGTATTGTCTACATCTATGAATATTTCACTATTTGCAGGTGTGTTTTCTAAAGAGAAGTGGTTCTTACTCCTTGCTGCAATTGAGAATCACCTGAGGAATAGATTTTTTTAAAATACAAACATTGGGCCCCACCCACATTCCCAGATTTCTGTTTGAATTGGTTTTGGGTTAGGTTCTGGGCATCAGATTTTTAAAGTTCACCCCTGGTAATTCTAATATGCATTCTGACTGAAGAATTATTTTTCCCAAAGAGAACTGTGCTTGTAGCCTTTTGACTTAGTCCATTTGGGCTGCTATAATGAAATACCACAAACTAGGTAGCCTAGAAATAAGCAAAGTTTATTTCTCACAGTTCTGGAGGTTGTGAAGTCCAGAATCAAGATTCTGGCACTCTGGCATTGTCACATTCTAGTGATGGCCTACTTCTTGTCACATTCTAGTGACGGCCCACTTCCTGTCACATTCTAGTGATGGCCCACTTCTTTCTCAGTTCACAGCTTCACCTTCTCGCTGTGTATGCACATGGTGGAAAGGTCTAGAGAGCTCTCTGGACTCTCTTTTATAAAGCACTAATCCCATTCATGAGGGAATCCCACCCTATGACTTAAGCACCTCCCAAAGGCACCCCCTCCTAATGCCATTATCTGTGGGATTTGGGATTTCAACATATGAATTTGGGGGAACACACACATTCAGATCATAGCAGCTTTCCTTCACCCCAAATGTCTTCAGATATTGTGCCTCCAGCATGGCCAGACCCTGATTCAGGTACAGATGTGAGAGCAGGGGTCAGAGATCAGTAAAACAGAACCCTACACACCAGGAACTGGGGCAACCTGATGCGTTGCTCAGCCCTTGCTTTCTAGGATGCAAAATCATGATTATGTTCTCAGGAAAACCACAATGAAGATAAATCTATTAATCATCTGGTTCCAGAATATAAGACACCAGTGTGTAACCATCCTCTTATCTGTGCTGACATGTCCGTGTTCCTGAGGACAGGGAGCTACTGCAGAAGCAGAAATGACTCCAGTACCCTTTCCAAAGCTCAGGGTACTAGCTGGGTATTTAACAAAATGCATAAGAGACTAAAGTTGATTTATAGATTCAGTATCTAGAGTTGGAAAGAAATAGACACACACACACACACACATACACACACACACACGCACACGATGGCATTCCCATGATATATATGGCTTTATCTGACATTAATAAATTTAAGGTTATGGTAATCTTAGTCCACTGAATTCCTACTGGAGTTCAAATAAAGGAAGGTGGTCTACTGCATGGATTCTGGGGCCAAATGCCCTGGGTTCAAATTCTAACTCCTCTATTTACTAACTGTACAACCTTAGACAAGTCACCTAAGTCTCTGGTGTCAGTAAAATGGTGATTATAAATCTGTCAAATGGGGGTAATAAACAGAGGTCTTTTCCACCATTCCATTGTCACCTCTCTAAGCCCATGTCTTACTCTGTGATCAATCAATCATATAAAGCTGTGAACTAAAATGGGGCAGGATGGCTGGTAAAACTCATTTATAAACCCATGCTTTGTGCATCTGGTATCCCTTGCCAAGCATCTTCAGCTTGATAATCTCCCACATCCCTCAAGACTCAGATCAGGTGTCCTCCTACAGAGAGCTTCAATGATCCCCAAGATTGGGATAAGGACTCTGTTTTGAACCCCCAGGACATCCTGTGACTTGCCACTAATTAGCTCTGTAAACTTCAGCAAGTCACTTAACTCCCCTGTGCCTCAGCACTATCATCCACAAAATGGGGATAATTATAATACCTAGCTTATACTGGTTATGTGAAAATCACATGAATTGATACATATAAACTTTTAAGAAATACTATAATTATTAACACCTACCATTATATGGTTAAGTTAGGTTTTTGTCTTTTCCAAAAGACTGTAACTCATCGAAATCAGAAGCTGGATCTTATTCCCTACTGAACAGCCAGTGTCCAATCCAATAACTGAAACAAATATGTATTTGTCAAACTGAACTTAATCAAGTGATTTTGTGCAAGGGTAAAATCCAGCCCCATGCTGCTTTCCAAACCAAAATAGGGTGTTAATCTTTGAGCCTTGAAAGGATAAAGCTGTAACATTTTAAAACTAAAGATTCCTCAGAGATCATCTGGCCCATCCCTTTCCTATTATAAGACACTGAGCCCCAGAGATACCCAGTGGCCTGTCTGAGATCATACAGGGTATGAGTGTCGTAGGGCCGCTGCAAACAAGTATTACAAACTGGGTAGTGTACACAACAGAAATGTATTGTCTCACAGATGTGAAGGCAAGAAGTCCGAGGTCCTGGCAGTGTGGGGGTCCATTCCTCCCGAGGCCTGTGAGGGCGAATCTGTCCAGACTTGCCCCTACCTTCCCCCTAGTGCACTGGGGCAACTGTCAGCGTTCTTGGCCGGCAGATGCAGCACTCCAGCCTCTCCCTCCACATTCGCATGTACCCGCCTGTGTCCACATTTCCCCTTTTTGTGCTGCACTTGGGAAGTTTATTTTTAATGAGGGAGAAAAAAGCCCAAATAAACAGAAAGATAAATAATATGGTATCAGAGAATGTCATATGTGCTGTGAGGTTGGCAAGTGACCATGGTTAAGAGCAGTGGCACTGGAGTTTGACTTCCTGGGTTGGAATCTCAGCTTCACCCCTGATTAATGGCACAGGCAGGGTACAGCAGATAGGCCCTGAAAATACAGGTGCCTGTCAACCTCAAAAACCCATGCTTTGTGCAAGGAAGCCAGGTATGGGAGAGAAGCAGAAAATGAGATGGGCAACCATGTCACAGAGAGACATTAGACTATTGTAAGGACTTTGGAAAGTCATTGGACAGGTTTAAAAAGGGAGTGATTTGATCAAACCTACCTTTGTGACACATGACACTGGGAGGAGAATAACTGCAGGGAAGCCTATGCAGTCAGGGAGACAGGCGTTCACCGCAGGAACAGTCCTGAAGGAACAGCAGCTTGACAAGATGAGTGGTAGTAGAGGTGGTGGAGAGATGGGAAGATTTGGGATATGTTTTCAAGGCACAGCCCCCAGGACTTAGGGATGGATTTGAAAATGGAAGCACGGGGAAAGGAATGAGAAAGACCTCAAGGATGTGGCCTGGATGATCTGTTGAATGCTGGGAACATTTCCTGTGATGGGGGGCATTTGGAGAGGAACAGCTTTTGGTGGGGTACACTTTACATAGAAGGTGCCTCATGGACATCCAAGTGGGGGCGTTCAGAAGGCTATTAGATGTGTGAGTCTGAAGTTCAGAGCCACTGTCCAGAGTCCAGAACCCATCAGTGGGCAGGCTCCTGGTCCACTAGACCCCTGTGCCCATGTTTTATCCCCAGTCATCCTTGACCCAAAATGGAGCACCTCCACTAGGCTCCTCGAGAAGTCTGCTCACACCAAGTATTTGTGATTTTATAGAATTTTATAGAATCCAGGGAGTTTGGGGAGGTCATTTTCCATAACATGCTGCCTTCTGCCACCACAGAGCTGCCTCATTCCATTTTTCCTTTTCACTTTATCCCCCAGCTCATTGATCCTTCCTCTAAGGAGTAAAACCAGTTATTTTTCCTGGCTTTTGCACCACTCTTAGCATTCCTCTTTTGCTGGTAGAGCATGATTTGGGGGAATCTCACCTTCTGAACCAAAGAACTTGTTAATAGGTGTTTTGGGTACATTATATACATTGCTTTTCTAGAGAAATTCAGATACAAGAAACTTTCTCCATCTTGTCATACCTTCTCCGAGGAAAAATGGAAGGGCTCACTCACACACTTCCTGGAAGGTAAGTGAGGAGAAGACAAAGATCAAGAGCTTCTTAATGGCATCCAAGCTCCCCCCGCTACTGGGCCAGCCCTGCCCAGGCCCTTTGCTAGATGTGTCCTGGTGTTTGACCATTGCTCTCTGGCTCTGCTCAGTGGTTGGGACTTGGAGTCTCGAGTAGTGATCTTACCAGAACCTCCTGATCATTTCTCCTTCTCCTCAAGTTTCACCTCATCCCTACAAGGGCATGAACTCTTCTTCATGCCTCCGATAGAGCAATGCTAGAGAACCCTGTGGTTGCTTAGGAATGCTCTTTG